GGAAAATTCCAAGGGTTGTAAATTGTGATGGGGAGGTGGGGTCCGAGTGGATCGAAGTCACGCTAGCTCAAGATGTAGAGCAGCGGCGTATTTAGGCGAAGGTCGTGGGTTCGAATCCCGCTCGTGGCACTGACTTTTTTTATCTCAACCAATATGATAGTGAGTGTTGGTCGAGACGGTGAACTGAACAAGAATGGGGATAGTTATTGCCGACTTCACTCTCTGGTTTGTTCGCTTACTCAACCGCGTTTTGGCATTTTGACGGACTCTATAAATGACCCGATGGCGGTTCAGCATTTGGAGACTACGAGAAAAACGTTAAGCTAGTTAAAGTCAAATGCCCGTATTTGGTCTTCGTCATATAGTAAAAACAGAAACATGTTTCTCCGGATCAAGGTAGGTCTTGAAGGAGAGAGCAAATTCAGTTGTTACTGCCAAGCTTTCGACCTATTTTAAGGTCACCACGGCAAAACAATCTTAAAATTTTCTACAGATTGACATATCCGTGCTTTCCTCAGGCGATCTCAAATTCAGTCTCATCATTGGCAAAGTCTGCAACAGCACTGCAACCCCATCCCTGAGGCCCTCTTATTATCAAAGATCTCTTTTAAAAATCAATAATTTTTGATAGATTTGATAAAAACTGGTCGATATTTTTTATTACTGAGTAACATGTTTGACAGTAGGGCATTGCTGATCCACCAAGGGTCACTTAATAGCCTGTAAACCGTCTCCTGTATGTAGATTTTTTGGTGAGGCAGTCATTTCTTACTGTCTTGCTAAAAAACTAATATATATTTGTACGAGGGTATTTCAACTAAGACTAGAATTATACGAACCCTCGGGGATTTTGAGAAAAGCCCATTTGTGACTATGTGGGGTTCTAATGCAGGGTTACTGAATTCGAACCCGGGTCCTTTACTTTACAGTGATGAGCGCCGTGTCAACGCCTTGACCATTGCGGCCACCGACATCCCCGATAAAAATATTGAATCATCAAAATGATGTTTGTAATTCTAATAAAAGAAAACATTCGAATACCGACAATTATTTACTAAATCCGATAAACTATTACACACTGAATTATGTAGCTTGCTAAACACAAATATTAATACGTTCTTTTTTCGAAATGGATAATTGTTAGGTTTATTTGCAGCACTTCGACCATTTGTGATGGTTTTTGAAACAAAATTTTCGTGTTTTTCACACAATACAGTAAGTCAAATAAGAAATGCCTTCAGACATCCACCTTATTGTAACTCTTTCAGTGGAATTCCGTTTTATTCCCGAGCTATTCTACTTTTTTTTCAAAAACCCACCGAGAAATCAAATTGTTTTGGATTCTTGTTGGGTTGTTAGTACGAGTAGGAAGTCAACTTTGGGCAAGATCATTTCGTAAGTTTTGAGTACGATACTTAGCCTGACGGCCTTCGGAATGGTCCTGTCAAAGTGGCCTGTGAATCGTTTTATCACACACTTTCTAAACAGCACTCTTTTAACAATAGTGCTCAGGACAGCGTCATGGCTTTACGAAATAAATAGCTCATAGGCCGGCGATAATCGAGAGAATGAGTTTCTTCGAGGATTTGATTTATTGGTGCCATCAATTATAAGGTAAAAAGAAGTTGAACACGTTAAATTTATCTAAGAGATGGAACGAGCAGATTAAAACAATCTAATGGTAATTCAGGAAATTTATTGCCTTGATAATGGACTAATATTTATAATTAAAAGTTTGATTAAACACTTTGACTAGTTATGATTAAAATATGATCAGTCATCAAATATTCCTATCAAGGTTTCAACATAAGAACTTTTGACGCAACGGGCAGACTTTAGAAATCTTCGTAATCCGAGGATAATTATTGACAAAGGACTTGATCGAATTAATTGGCTGTTTTGTTTTTATAGCCTAACTTTTATTATTTTTTTACCAACTTTCCTGCTTGCAATTAACTAGAAATTTATTACAAAGTTTAATTTTTGTACAATTTATTTGCTTTCCTCACTAGTACGGTTCAAAGTTTTATAAATAACGATAGTGATGCAAGAAAATAAAGCCAGATCTAAGGATGAGCAGACACCATACCAAATTCTGAAGAGAATTAAAATAAATGAGATGCAATAACGGCACTTGACAAAATGATAGAAAACTCAACTTTGACAGACCCTTCCAAGTGGTCATAGTAAGTAGAAACATTTGGAAGAAAATCCATTACAGTTTGTGATCCGTTTGAACAATTAATATTTTTTCAATTAATTAATATTTATGAAAGGTATTGGTCGAGATAAAAAAGTCATTGTCACGAGCGGGATTCGAACCCACGATCTTCGGCTAACGCCGCTGCTCTACCACTTGAGCTATCGTGACTTCGATCCACTCGGACACCAACTCTTCATCTCAACCGACCTTTTGTATTATCCCTCCTTTTTGCCATTTTTGAAATGTGTAATCTATTCGATTCTAGGCGACAAATGAAATGGCCACGGAGAGCTTTAGCGAAGATATACTTCATTTTACTTATTAAATCCATTAGATTTCATGGTCCGATTGACCAGATAACTTCTTTCAATTACTTAATCTTTATGTAAGGTAATGGTTGAGATAAAAAAGACAGTGTCACGAGCGGAGTAGATTGAAGTCACGTTAGCTCAAGTGATAGAGCAGCGGCATATTTAAACGAAGGTTGGGGGTTCGAATCCCGCCCGTGACACTGACTTTTTTTATCTCGACCAACACCTTTCATAATTCATAATAATTAATCTGGAAGAAAGTTAACACCATGGTTCAGGAAGAGTTCTAATTTAGTACAACGATGGATCGAAGGTCGTAGGCGTAATTATAAAATGGACAAACTAAATCCTAATAAACCTCTTGAATTACTCCCAACAGTTTTCCTAGCTGAGAGCCATGAAATACAATTTTGTGCACAGGAATTAATAAAGAACTGTATGAAAGGCATAGATTTACATACACTACGAGAGTCAGACAGCTGTGAAGGTGTAGATGAGTATGTGTTTTACTCCAAACTTGGAAGGGCCTAAATTGCCTAATGGTTCTAGGAAAACACAACAAGATTTCCTTAAAGCGAGTTCGCGGGCATGTAGGAATAAAAGGAGGTTAATAGGCTTATTAAAAAAGGGGCAGCTCTCTTATCCAAGGAACAGGCATAACTAGGTGCACCGGAGAGTCAGTTAAATTCGAACTGAAAGCACGGATTGAGAAAGAAAAATTCAAGCACTGATCAAAAGCACAAGTATAAGGAAAGCTAAGAGATGTATAAATATCTCAAAAAGAAAGGCGAACGAACTCCTTCCTCTGAGCAGGCAGGAAAATTAAATTTATACAGCACACTGCGGTCTTAACTACCACTTAAAGAAGATAAATCAGAGATCAAATCAGAGACAGAAACATGCCGATTATATCATGAGGAATCACAGACATTGGCATACATCCTTTGTGTACGTGAAGCATCAGCCCCAGGAAAGTGCTTAGGTTTATAGGAAAAAGCGCATTTTCCAAGCAATTGTTATAATTTATAAGGGTTCCACAATAAATCTATATAGGCCGCAGTATTGTAGGAAAGGATTTTTGAAATTTTTATTTAACTCTTCAAAAACCTCAGAAAAATATTTATTTAGAAATCGTGAGATGCGGTCTGGTGTGATGTAGGTTTCAGAAAAACATTTTATTTATCGTGCCAACGTTTCGATCTTTATTGAGATCATCTTCAGGGCTCAAAGTGTTTGTCTTCTGTGTAATTGTGTCACTCTCGACACGACACGCAAGAATGACACAATTACACAGAAGACAAACACTTAGGGATGTATGGGACGTCCCTAGCCCTGAAGATGATCTCAATAAAGATCGAAACGTTGGCACGATAAAGAAAATGTTTTTCTGAAACCTACATCATACCAGACCGCATCTCACGATTTCTAAATAAATATCGATTAACGGTCACTAATCACCACACATTCCTCAGAAAAATGTAAAAAACTTCAAGTAATTCATACCTTCAAACTTTTACAAGTAACAATTAAAAAATTTTTTTTGATCATCCTAATCAAATTATATCAAACTCGTGTTAAATTTTGTTTAGAGTTATTATCGGACTTTATTTTAAATCTTAATAGCCATAAGGGTTAACGAAAAACGACCTAATGCATTTTTTGTTTCCTAGTCTCAAAAATCGTTTGAAGTTCGGAAAAAATTTAGTTTAACCTCAATGATTATTACTATGCAAATGTTGATAAAATATTAATTATTTTTAATACTCATTTGCACTAATTTATTTTTTAAATTTTACATTCATCACAATTGATGTAAATGAATCTATAGATAAATGTATCTTTCTTTATCTTTTAAGCTGTTTTGCTATAATGAAGAAAAAAGAATTAGTAGTAGATCTGATATGAACCAGTAGAAAATCTCGAGTTCTAGTTTGCTTTTTCCTTGACCCCACCCTCGACTTATGTTGGGAAACAGACATGAAATGTGTGCCCTTTCACTCGAATAAACGCAACTGAAAAAAAGGATTGATAACTAATTCCAAAAATAGTGGACAGAAACATAAAGATTACTTGATAAACGTTAATTAGATGGTGAAAACATTGATAATTTAATTGTTTAAATATCACAATACGATTCTAAGTATATTGCAGCCTTAAAATATCCTTCCTTTGTATATATTAAAATGTTATGAACGTGATTCTTTTTTTTCTTTAAAAAAAACTTTATTTACCAATTTTATGTACTATTTAGGTATATTTACTTAAATCTAAACAGTAAAGTGCTATAAATATGAAAATGAGCAAATGATTTCGACGAAAGTGTGGAGGTTGCGTTATGGACGTCCTCCTGCAGGATGGAGTTTTATGCAATAGCGTAAAACAATGCACGCGTAAAGGAATTTTATCATACACAACCGATTGTCAAAAATTGGGGGAAATGTTTCGTTATATGATATGCTCCAGTAAGAAACGTCGAGGATAAAAACTGAATTCGAACAGCTATCATCGTCAATCAACTCGCTACCTCTGCTCGAGTTACAATGAACACATTTCTTGTTTTTCTCGTTTGTGCTATTGCAGCAGGAACGGCTCAATCAGGAGGGCACAGGGAAGAAGGTCTAGGACACCATGAACATTATGACTACTATGTAAGACAATAAAAGTGAATTAATTTTGAACAGATTTTAACCAAATCTTATGTTTTTTTCAGGCGCCACCGCATTACGACTACGAGTACAAAGTACACGACGAGCATACTGGAGACTACAAATCTCAACACGAGACAAGGGAAGGTGACAAGGTTAAGGGATTCTACATGCTGAAAGAGCCCGACGGCACAGTCAGGGAAGTCCATTACACCGCCGATCACAAAAATGGTTTCAACGCTGAAGTCAAGAGGGTAGGACATGCTGTCCATCAAGAAGAACCAGTCCCAGTGCACCACGAAAAAGTAGAAGAAGAAAAAGGCCACGAGGAACATCATGACTACTACGTAAGTATTTAAAAGTTCATTAATTGAGGATATATTGAACTCATTTTCTTCTCGTTCCAGGCACCACCTCATTACAGCTTCGAATATAAAGTGCACGATGAGCATACTGGAGACTACAAATCTCAGCACGAGACAAGGGAAGGTGACAAGGTTAAAGGATTCTACATGCTGAAAGAGCCCGATGGCACAGTCAGGGAAGTCCATTACACCGCTGATCACAAAAACGGTTTCAACGCTGAAGTCAAAAGGGTTGGACAGGCCGTCCACCACGTACCAATGTACCATCATTACTGATACAACTATGTAAAAATCGCCAATTTATTTGTATATATGTAAAAAATAAAGGAGGCTAATCGAAAATTGCATGTATTCAGTGCACGGCCAATACACCATAATAAATAAATACATGTATTGAATATTAAAAACTAGTGTAATCTAACGACTTATTTGCCATCGTAATATACTAAAGCAGTATAAATTTGATAGAATTTAGATCTTTACCAAAATCATCAGCATCATCCAATTATTACTTTTTATATGGTTTTTTCGTTTCATTTGGAATTGCATTTAACTGCAATAAGGAAAAACAATGGTGATAGAGAATAATAGCCTTGTATTGTCCTGAACGGTAGCGATGATGGGGACGGTGTTGTGCAACGCGGGGTGTTGGACTAGAAGGATTTTCGATAGGTCTTCGATGCTTTAGCTTACGTCAGAAACGAATTAAAATTGGGCGGTACAGGATTCGAACCCGGAATTGCTAGGTTGGCAAATACGAGTCGGACATACTAATCGTTCGGCCACCGCAGTCTCCCATTTTAAGCATTACATTTGAACTTGAAAAGGCTTGTTAATATTGTAACTTACTATTTTATTTTTGTTTAGGTTTATTTGACTGCGTTACATGCTAATGCATCTCGCCAATAAATGTTTTTGGTCGTTTCATACTATTATTTCGCTATATTTCTGATTTTACGTTATATTGGCAGTTTTCGATAAATACTAGTTGGCATTACAATGTTTAAATTACAAAATTTGTAACCTATTTGTAAATTCAATGTGAAGTAAGTTAAAATGCAGCCTCTTGAAATTAACCCAGTGGTAATTTTCACAGTGAAGGTGTGTTGAAATAAACGATACAAACTTTGAACACGAAGCTTTACAATATTGGCCAACGTACGACACTGTATAATTTTGGTGGTGGGCGTTGGTCTGTGTGATAGTGACTACTCCCGTGGGTTTCGATTTCATCACAGATTCTCAGTGAAGATGGAATAAAGTGATACTAGACTGACTCCGTAGCATGACGCATGTTTACCAGAAACATTTTAGTTCGAGAAAAAAATAATTTAAATAATTTGTTTACTACAGATATGTTAATAGATGTGTAATCCCTAGACAAATAAAACAATGTACATTAGGACTGAGATTTAAGTAGTTTAGATGATAAATTTAAGTAAATTTATACTAAAACGATAAGACATTGGATCATTAATTTTTTATGTTAAAAATAAAACGTTTTTTGTTATGAATGTGTTTGTAAGATTTGCAGTAGAAAAATTAAATTTATGATTATTTAGAGATCGTGAGATGCGGTCTGGTGTGACGTAGGTTTTATAAAAACACTATTTATCGTGCCTACATTTCGATTTTTATTGGGATCATCTCCATGGCCTGGGATTTATAAACATTGTTTAAATTTTATAAATACATGTAGGATGTTAAAAAATGAGTGAATTTATACAATGCTAGAAATATTAGATTCGAACCCACGACCTTCCGCTAAATACGCCGATGCTCTACCACTTGAGCTATCGTGACTTCGATCGGACACCAACTTCCCATCTCAACCAAACTTTACATCAAAATTATAAATCAATTTAGATCATTACTTTGGTTAATTAGGACCACCTAAAATACAAATGCATTAATGTAGAAATATATTATAATTGTCATGGAATGTAGCATGTAGCAGGTCTTTCAATCTCTGGTACTATAATTATTATCTGGAGATCGTGAGTTGCGGTCTGGTATGACGTAGGTTTTATAAAAACATTCTTTATCGTGCCTACATTTCGATTTTTATTGGGATCATCTCCATGGCCTGGGATTTATAAACATTGTTTAAATTTTATAAATACATGTAGGATGTTAAAAAATGAATGAATTTATACAATGCTAGAAATACTAGATTCAATCAAAGTATTTCTACTCACTCAAAGTGTTTGTTTTCTGTGTAAATGTGTCATACTTGTGTGTCGTATTGAGAGTGCCAGTGAGATATTGATGTTTTATATCTATATAGTTTGAATTTTCAAGGGGTGGGGAAGGAAGTCGGGTTAGAAAGAAATATATAGAATACATAGAAATAAAATTTATTTTGTTAAATTGGGTTTGAAAAATGAAATGTTCCTTTAAAAGACTAAAACATTTAATTAAAAAATTTCAAAAATTCCTGCTGCCATTTATTGGCCTTATGGATTACATATTACCTATATACTGTATGTATTTGATGTTTCATTATATATAGTTTTTTGGGGGAAGGGAAGCGTGAAAAACGATCATGCTTTGCGAGCCGGGAGCCCAACAAGCTTGCCACTCGGTTACCGCGGTTCTCAAATAATCAATCGATCGTAATAAGGTAAGAATTTGTAACATCAGTAGTGACACGCACGTGATGGACTCCCCGCCCTCAGCAACCTCACGGTAGGAGAACACCTGCAACCTCGGTCAAAAGTCATGTTATGATGGCCTCTACTGTTGTCCCCCCCCAAAAAAAAAGTCAACACAAGCGAACCCATTAGGCAAAAATTTCTTTTTTAAAGTAACTTGTTGAAATTCAAAAGCCCTCAGGATGATTTGACTTGAAATAATAGTTAAAAAAATATTTGAAAATGAAAAATTAATAGATCCAAAGTAGATATTTGAAATTCAATTAAAAAATAAGTGGCAAAGTGATGACTGTTGTTGAGAATTCTTGAAATCGTCATAAGTTGAGATATTTATAACAACATTAACATAAAATTATACACTCATAAAACATACATAAATAAAATAATTGCTTGGACATTTACTTTCACCCATTCAACCTTGGTCTGTCCGACACCCCATCATCTCATTTCATCTAACTCATCTAGCCAAAAGCAGTATATCAATATATGAATACAAACATGAATTCCTAAGAGTAAAAACAAATTTGATGCTGATTTTGCCTACACTGACGGATCCAGATCCAACGATGGAGTTGGTGCCGCAGGTGTTCACGGCAAATATACTAATTTAAACTTCCCTCAATATGTAACAACTTTATTGCAGAATTATTAGCAATAAAAACGCACTCAACATCACCTTTACAGATAAAAAATGGTAGATATCTTTTCCGATTCCTTATCTGCATTATAGGCCATACGAACATATCTTCACTGAAAATTCACTAATCCAGGACATCCTTAATCAAATACAAAAAATGAAATAACAAAATAAACAACCAATCCTTATGTGGGTGCCCGGCCACTGTGACATTCAAGGCAGTACTCAAGCTGACATTCAAGACACAAGGAATTCTGCGTACCCACATGGGAATTTAGAATCACATCTAAAACATACAATATGGATAGACTGGGACCAAACCTGGCGCAACAGCATAGACAATAAACTACGAAGCATCAAAGATTCTGTCAGGTAATTAAGGTTTTTAGTTGAGATGAAAAAAAGTTAATGGCACGAGCGGAATTCGAACCCACGATCTTCGGCTAGATTTGCCGCTGCTCGACCACTTGAGCTATCGTGACCTCGATCCACTCGGACATCAACTTCCTATCTCAACCCCACCTTATGAGTTTTCCCTCCTTTTGCCATTTCTCAAGTGGTAGAGCAGCGGCGTATCTAGCCGAAGATCTTGGGTTCGAATCCCGCTCGTGCCATTAACTTTTTTCATCTCAACTAAAAACCTTAATTAATTGTCATGTATTAATTGGTCAAGCGGACGACGAAAGTAGTGAATTAATTCTGTCAGGTGCTGGACTCCTTCCGACAAAGCAGACAAGAAAAAATAACTCTGACCAGGCAACCGGACAAACCAGATACACACATGTCCACCTCATCAACAAAGAAACACCTCCACAATGCAACACATCAAAGGTATATCTAACTGTAAAACATGTATTAAATGAATATAAATTTTTAAAATCAGCCAGAAAAGTATAAGTATCGCTCCTTAGCGACGAATCAACATGCCTAAATAAAATGTTTGAATTTTTAAAAAATATTTACCTAAAGAAATATAAACCCAAAAAAAGTAAAATAAAAGCAACACATATATTATATATATATATATATATATATATATATGTTACGTACTCGCTAGACCCTTATCTGTTACAACCCTTCACATTCCTCCCTTATCACATCTGTACGTCTTCACTTCCAAGAGACCCCTCCTTCATTTCATCCCCAAGCCTTTGCTAATATTAATATTTTTAATTCAATCCGTCTAGGGCTTTCATCGAGTATAGACCGAAAATTCCCTAATTGGAATTGGCTATTCCAGTTTTGTATTTGCTTGCTGTGTAATAAATAGTATTCTTAATAAAATAAATAAAATAATTAAAATCATACATTTGTTTATAATAAAGAGGTTCCACCGAAAACTGTTAGCTATTCGATTGATGTAAAACAAAATATTTCGTTTTGTATAACTATAATTAATTTTTGTCAATAAACATCTTTATTATTATTATTGTTATTTTGATGATGACGGTATACTGGGGCGAGGTAGGTGGAAGTCTTATTGCTTTAATTATTGCATTGCAAACGTTTTTGTGATCAGCTGTGTAATGGACTCCCCTGGCGGTTTCATTAGGGTCTTTCAACATGTGGAAACCTTAACCTTGTCACCTTCTCTTGCCTCATGTTGAGATTTGACGTCTCTTGTGTGCTGTCGTGGAATTCACTTTTCACTTCAGCTGAACCTATAATCTGAAACTATTTTGGTGATCAATAGTGTAATGAACCTCCCTGATTGAACCATCCGCTTCTTTCAGCATGGCGAATCCTTTAACTTTAAGGTGTGATTTGATGTACGCTCGTCTTAAAGTCATCATTTGTCATGTTCTCTTTGTCTTACGATGACATTCGAACTCTCCTGTATGCTACCTATTCAAAGCTTGTGTCTGAAAGAAAGCAAAAAATTAACTTACTTTCAATTAATGTTTATTTAAATAACTTACGCAAAGGTCATGATGTCCGCGTTTCGCTGGTGTTATCGGGTTCTTTCAACATGTAAAAAATTTCCACTTTGACGCTTTCCCTTGTCTCATGCTAGGATTTGACATATATAAGCTTGCCTTGTATTTTGCACT